GGGAACAGAGCAGGCAGTCTCATGAAATACACTGCTGAGGGGAGCAGCGGGCGGTAGGAGAGGTCTGCGCGCCATGTGGGACCCTCGCCCTGCGGCCAGGGATCGAACCAACGCTGCAGAGGCTGCGGGCAGCTTTGCAACCCAGCGCTCAACCGCTGTCACCAGGGGAGGTCCCTAGCTGGTTTTCATTAAGGAGAGGGGGAGAGGGTCAGCACGGAGACAGGTAAGGGGAAGGGGTCTTCACAGAGAAGGGTGGTGTCAGCCTTATTTCATTAAGGGGAGGCGGACAGGGTCTGCACGGAAACCGAGGGGCGACAGCTTGTTTTGCTTCTTAAGGGGAGGGGGAAGCTGCAACAAAGGGGGAAAGACAAGCTATTGTTAATGCCAGATAAGGGGGATTGCAAGAAATGGGGGAAAGACAAACGTGTTAACTGTATCAAGGGGAGCAGCGTGCAAGACAGGAGAGGGCTGCTGTGCCACGTGAGCAGCTCCCTGGCTGGGACCAAACTCATGCTGCAGTGGCTGGAGATAGCTTGATAGTGCTGTGTCTTTAACCCCTGCGCCACCAGGGAGGCCCCTAAAGTCTCTTTTATAAAATCACTCAACTTTCAGGTTTACTTTTGGCTCCTTATTGTAAGGCAACTAAAATGCAACGTCATCTCACCTAAAGAAAAGGAAAGCGTGTGTCTGTGTGAGTCGTCTCGCCTGAAGAGAAGGTGGCATCCCAGCTCTGGCGACGTCTTGCAGCAGGACGGGCAGGTGACCTGGAATCAGCTCAGGTGGTGCAGGACGAAGCCTGATGGAGACTCAGAGGTTCAGGGAGGAGCTGATCCCGCCTGACTGCCGCACCCCAGAGAAGCCTCGGGAGTGTCCTGCTTCTACCCTCCCTGCGGGCTGTGGGGTGAAACGTGCCCCTGCGGGGCAGTGACTACGCGCTGGAGGCTCCGGCTTTGGAGGAGACTCTGGGCTTCTGAGGTCTGCGCTTCCTCTCCCTGTTTGTGGCTTTTGCCTCCAGCTCTTCCCGGACACCTTCCCCAGGGGCCCTCTCTGCAGCCCGTGCACTGTTCCTTCGGTTTTGTGCAAACGCTCTGTTTTCTGGAGTGAACCGCACGTGCCTGGGGGATTCCCGACCCCAGACCGCGGGCCTGGCTCCCCCTTCAGTCAGTGCGTTCAGGCTTTCTCGAGCCCGCGGTGTCCGCCGTCCTGGAGGCTCTTTCACGCCGGAGTCACATGCCTGGTCCCCTCGGCTGCTGCCGCAGCAGCTGCACCCCCGGGTGGCTCCCTCAGTCGTTCCAAACGGCCACCAGGTGCACCGACCCGTGAGCCAGGACACTGGGGACTCCGGAGCAGGCGCGTGTCCGCCAAGCTGCCCTGGAGGAGACGCTCCCCAGTGGGCAGTGCCCTGGCTCGTGCCTGTCCACGGCCTGAGGGACTCGCTCCCCGTGAAAGTGTGATTTGGGATCCCCGGGCTGTGTGTCAGGAGAGACGCGGCTGACACCTGAACTTCCCACCCCGGCCTTTCACAGACAGGGATTGTGACAAGCTGTGAGCTCCCCGCGGCCCCGTCTGTGGGCCATTTGCAAAGTCGTGTATCAACTGGGCTGGGCCAGTTTGAAAAGCAGACACCTCCAGACACCGTGGACGGCCTTTTTGCCTTTGTGTCCCTGCTGATCCCAGAGGTCGGTGCACTAGCATAGCCCGACCACCACTTTTTCGATGACTATTTGATTTTTTTCTCCGTGTTGTTCTTTTTTGAACAGGACGCTCCTGCTGGGACCCCGTGCAAGGCGGAAGACACCGGGGAGCAACCCAGACTCTTCACCTGGCACTTCGCCAGCAGAGATCCCCTCTCCCATTTGCCCCCTCCCCCCCAGTGGGGCAGGCCTGGCAAGGCACAGGCACTGGGGTGTCCTTGCGGGACTGGAAGAGCCTGTAGGGGGGCTGCTCCTGAGGAATCTGGTCCAGGGGAGGGGGGTAGGGAAGGTGGAGAAAGAGAGTTTGCAGTGCTGGGTCATGGGCTCCAGCAGGCCCAGGCTGAGTGGACTCACCTGCCCTCCACAAAGAACGGGATTCTCCTTCAGGCTTCATCTGCCCACAGAGGGTGTGGACCCCACCCTTGCTTGGACTGCAGTCTCACTCATCACAGGACCAGTGGGCGCCGCTCTCTAAAGCAAGCTCCTCTCTCTCTCTCTCTCTCTCTCTCTCTCTCCTCTCCTCTCTCTCTCTCTCTCTCTCTCTCTCTCTCTCTCTCTGTCTCTGTCTCTTGTTCTTTCTCCCCCCAACACCCACAAGTGCTCCCTCCACACACCCCTCCTCAGTCTTTCTACCCACATTCTGGTCTGTAGCCCACAGAACCCTGATATGCAGGGGTGTCAGAAGCACAGTCAGAGGGGATGTGTGCCCGGCTTTGGGTGACTGCAAGCTCTTGTCCAGCGGATGGGAATGCCTGGCTGGGTCAGTGCCGGCACCCAAGCTTGCAGAAGGAGAGTTTGCAGGGCTGGGTCATGGGCTCCTGCAGGCCCCGGCTGAAGGGACTGATCGGCCCATAGGTGCTCCTGGGTGCTGGGAAAACAGAAAATCCAGAATTTCTGAGGCAGGTGGTAGAGAGAAGTGAGAAATCAGGGTGAAGAGGAGAGGAAAGACACAGACACCCCCTTGTCACCCAGGGTCCCCGGTGAAGCCTGAAGAACTCTGCCATCAGGCCTGAGGGAAGCCTGGTGGGAAGGGCCCTGCATTCTTCAGGCTCAGTGAGGGCTTCTGCTGAAGGCCAGTCCTGCAGTCAGATGCTGTCCCCAGAATGGGCCCCCGCAGGAGGTCAGGAGCCAGTGGCCAGGAGGGTCAGGTCCGGTAGGAGCAGCAGGATGGAGCTTTAGCCCGAGACCTGTGGGGGCTCCCAGCGCCCCTCACGCCCAGGCAGGACGGCCAGGCCAGCAGCCCTCCCGGTGCTGAGCGCTTCATTTCCAGAAGTAAAACCAACCTGGAACACTAGGAGGGGTGGTCAGGAACCTCTTGCCCCCATCCCAAGGCACACCTGCCTCTGCCAGTGTCCAGAACTGAGCCAATTCTCTGCGGGAAGCAGGGGCTCGGTGAGGGGGGCTGTGTCACGCCACCAGCGAGCGCAGAGATTCTGGCCTTTCCCAAAGTCCCTGCCTGGGGGTCAGGGGAGAGTAGCCCTTCACCTGGTCTGGGGCCCCATGAGAGGGGAGGGGTGCGCAGTCCTCAAACCCCTCCCCTAAAACTTTCCCCTCCCCATTTCCTGGCTTCCAGGCTGCTCTGAGTCCTTGCTCTGCTCTGGGCCTCAGCCATGTCCTAATGTGAGGGGCTCCGGCTCGGGTGGTCCCTCCTGAAAGCCTCGATCTGCTGGATTCTCTCCCAGAGCCCCAAGTCTCCCCTCCCGGGAAATTCCCGGCGGGAATTTCAATTTCGAGGCCCAAAGTTTTCCAGGCAGCCAACCAGCGCCCCTGCAGGCCCCTGACCCCATCCCTGCGCTCTCCAGGCAGGGGCCTCTCCCCTCCCTGCAGCAGCATTTGGGCTGGGGGGGAGGGAGGACAGCAGTGGGACCTGCTGGGCCTGAGCAAGACCCTCCGTGCTCCGTCGCAGGCAGGGGCTGCGCCTCCTGCTTTATTTCCACACATGCAAAGTCACCTCCAGTGAGGAGGAAGCCCTTGGACTCCAGCTCTGGGTCATCTCTGTCTCTGCGACCTTGACCCCTGACCTCTGTAGTAGGAGACCTGCTGAGGCCTGAACACCAGCAAGTTGAAGGTGGTAAAAGAACCTGAGTCTGCCCCCCACGAAGAGCAGGATCCCCTTCAGCTTCACCTGCCCACGGGGTGGGGGGGGTGAGGATCCCACCCGTGGCGGGTGGCGGGACTCAGTCTCACTCCTCACAGCCCCAGCGCTGGCGCCTCTCTAGCTCCCCCCTCCCCTTCTCTCTCCTCCAAGTCTCTCCCCACTGTCCCCTCCACTCACCCCACATCAGTCTTTCTACCCATATTCTGTCTGTATCCGCAGAAGCCTGATACTCGGGGGTGTCAGAGAGACCCCGGGAGGTGATGCATGCCCGGCTCTGATCGTCTGCAGCTCCTGTCCAGTGGGACGGGAACACCTGACAGTGGAAAGTGCCAGAACTGAATGCCTGGGGCACGATTTGAGGACCAGCAGGGAGAACAGATGGGTTGACCCCAGGGTGTTGGAGAGGAAGAGATGTCACAGGTGAGATGGGAAATTGCTCTGGCAGTGATGAGATCTGGGAAGGCAAGACATGGGATACCCCCCCCCCACCCGCAACCACAACCTCACTTAACCTCCTCCCCACACCCCTCCGGACACACCACAGAGGATGATTTAACCTCAGAGGAGCTACTAGACCCCATTCTCTGGTTGGTTTCCTGCCCCACAGGGAGGGTCAGTACTATCCCCGGGTGTGTGCACACCCCTGCTCAGGCCTGACTCACACACTCTCAGAAGGGCCCTGCGGGGCGGGGGTGGGGGGGTGGTCCTGCAGATGAGGTGCAGGAGGAGCAGCCCAGGAGGCAGGAGCAAGGGAGTCTGAGCAGCTTCTCCCTTTGGACAAGCAGCGGGGTCTTGATTGCACTTGTTGGGCTCTTCCTTCTTCCTCCAACTCTGAGAATGAACTTCTCTTAAATTCCACGTACTCAGTAACTGTAAGGCCTTTGGGAGAAGAACAGACTCACACAGAAGAGGTGAAGGTGTGCAGGTCCTTCCCTCTCTGAGCCACAGGGCAGCGAGCTGTCACCCGATGTCCCCCATGATGGTGACGGCCTCTGATGCCACATACACGAGCGTGTGTTTCCTGCACAGCAGGACACGCTCCTGGATCCCCACACACGCTCACGGCAGATTCACCTCAGCCTGTCAGCACCTCATCCGCAGTCCAGAGTCACGTCTCAGCGGTTGTTCCAAAATGTGCTTTATGGTCACAGGAAGGATGGATTCAGGTATTTACCATTTTATGAAAAGACAAAGATGGGGTTGTGGTTTTATAATTTTTTATTTTATTTATGCATACAAAAACGGGGGTACAGGCCAGAGGTATGGACGGTGAGAGGATTCCCCTAAAGAGTGGGGAGCAGAAGAGGCAGATCTACTGAGATACACTGCTGAGGGGAGCAGCGCACAAGTCAGGAGAGGTCAACTGTGCCACTTGGGTAGCTCCCAGGCCAGCCTGGGATGAAACTGGTGTTGCAGTGGCTGCCAATGGCTTGACAGTGCTGTCTTTAACCCCTGTGACACCAGGGAGGTCCTTTCATTAACCTCATTTGTAAACATGCACAGTTTCTCAAATATATTTACTGCGGACACACTGATTTAAGTCCCCATGGGTTTTAGGGCCTAAGTTCTCACTCTACAGATGTGTTCCTTCCCACCTCCCCGGCACAGAAGCCCCGCACCTTGTCCAATGTCTTTTGGGTCACGGGACACTTTCAGTGCAGGTGGGCACTTGCTGTGTGGCTGATTGTGTTCGGCGTGGGGACTGTCCACGCACTGAGATGGGGAAGTCCGCATCCAAGGAGGATTCCTTTTCTAAGTGTTCAAAGGACATCAGGACCTCGGTGACTCCACTGCTGTCCACCACTCGATTTGGATGGAACATGATCCCTTCACCTCTTGATGTTGAGGTGCAAGAATCTGCCCCTTAGCACCTGAGAAAGTGGCATCCGTGTGTTAAGGAAACTATGACCCCAAAGGTCACAGAGGACAGGCCGTGTTGAGACCCTGGGAGTGGTGACCCTGGAGTCCTCCAGATTTAGAACCACTGCGTCCTGGGGTGGAGGATGAAGCAGGGGAGCCACGGCGGGTCACAAAGGCAGAGTCTAGAGCAGGACCCCGGGCTCGGGGGCTCGGGCAGCAGCACGGGCCTTCAGAGAAGAACAAATGTTTGTCCCAGGGATTGAGAGCCCCTAGGTCCCTTCTCCAGAGGCTGCCCCTCCCCGGTCACCCCATCTCAGAGCCCTCCCTCCCTGAGGGTCTGGTACTTCCCTAACCTGGCCCCCCAACCCGGGGTGCAGTAGCCTGTACCACCTGCTCCTCACTGGTACCAAGGCTTTGGCCCTGCTAAAGGCAGTAGTGAATCCCTCTATTCCCATTTTCAGTGCTGATTCTCCATGTTCCTGGAGGGGCTGCGGGGTCAGGCTGTGAGAGAGGAGAAGGGCCGCATGCCCACACCTCCAGCCTCAGGGAGGGTTGCAGGCCAACATCCCTCTTCCCTTCTCTCTGAGCCTCTCAGCTGGCAGGACACAGCCCTCACTGTGTTCACTATGACTCTCCCTGCCCCTCTCCCCATCTGTCCTGATCCAGCTCAGCTCTGAGCAGTAACAGAAGCTTGGCCCTGCACCGTTTCCAAACAACACAGGGTCCACAAGTGACTCCGGATCTGGGGTGTGCAGAAGGCTGGCTGGCACTCTAGGCTGAGCCGGGATGCTCAAGGTAGAGTGAGAGCAAATGTCCCTTGATCCCTGCCTGACAGTCCCTGTCAGCTCCCGCCTCCCCTGTAGTCACCAGACACGTCTATGAGAACAGAATCCTGATTCCGGTCTTGAGATTGGAGGCAAAGCCTTCGAGCCTCCCACTGGCATTCCACCCAGCCTCTCCCCACTCTGGAGCCTGGCCCTAGACACTCCTGTGGAGACACTCCTTTGGGGACAGGCTGCTGTCCCCACACAAGGCCTGAGGAGCATGTATATGTGTGCCCGTGTCCCTAAACTCCACACCCCTCTCTCCCCACAGGCATCCTCCCAGAGCAGCATCTCACCCCAGTCAGGTCTGAGTTGCTCAAGCTCATTGCTATGAACAGGCCTTAAGCCTTGGCGTGGCCCTTCCCACCCACCGGCCTCCAGGGAGGGGGACTCAGCGCTCAGGGCTGAGCTGGGCCAAGTTCTTGCTCAGGTGACACGAGCTCTTCTCACCTGGTTTCAATCCACAATGAGTGGATTCTGGGAAGGTGGGGGGACTGGAATTCCATCCCCTCCTTGTACCCAGTGACCTGCCCATTCCATCCCACCTATTCTGCCCCCAGTACCTTCAGTATAAACACAATGCCAAGTAGGATGGCGCAGGGGAGCAGGATCACAGGGATGAGCCAGGGCATGTGCCCGACAGTTGTGGCCTTGGGTGGGTCTTTGCCTGGGGCCATGGCAGGTGATGCTGAAATGGAAAAACAAAAGTGAAAACCATCGAGCAGACCCCAGATGTGAGAAGAGGCCGCCTCAACTCCTGCTGCCCAGATCCAGCACAGAGGAGGCCACTCTCTTCTCCTGTGCTTTGGGGGCACAGTGACAGGCCCTGGGGAGGGCAGACAGAGGAGGTGGGACCCCAGGGGCTCACACAGTAGAGGGAACTAGGGTGACCTCTAATCACTCATCCCTGCTGTGACAGAGGAGGGCCCAGGAGAGGGTGCAGAGAGTCCTCTCAGGAGCTGGCATGCGAGGCGGACAGGACGGACTGCAGACACACAGCAGGTGAGACAGAGAGAGGGTTTCTCAGAGAAGGGAGAGTCAGAAGGAAACCTCTGAAAAGAGCATGACTCCCTCGGGTGTGGGGTCAGCTAGAATCCCCAGAGCAATGTCCCAGGGGGAGAGACAGAGGGAGGAGAAGGGGAAGGAGGGAGAACAGCCCTGTGACCAGGGTCTCCTGAGAGCCGCTCCCTGCGCAGGATCAGCTGCTCCCACAGGCAGACTCATACCCAGTCTCCCTCCCTCTCTCTCTCTCTCTCTCTCTCTCTCTCACACACACACACACACACACACACACACACATACTCGTCAGAAAACCACACTTCCTCCCCACACAGCACTACCTGTCGTCCCTGGCATCTCCCAGTGCGCTGCCACCTGCCGAAGCCACATCTTGCAGTCCCCGAGGGACATCTTCAAGAGCAAGTGGTTCAGGTCTCTGTCCTCCGCCCACCTCTCCAGCTTCCCCGTGTCTGCGGGCGGGTCCCCCGTCCAGAGTCTGGTCTCCGAGTCCAGGCGCAGGGAGATGTGTCCATTGACGACGAAGCGCCAGGATGCGCGGCTCTGTCCACGGGCCTCCCCCTCACACACCATCCTGCCCTGCAGGGAGAGGGGCCCTGCCCCAGGGAAAGAGCTGGGTCTCTGCTCTCCACAGCCTTGGCCCACCCGGTACCCACCCCCCTGGCCCTTGACTCCCTGCCCTGCTCTGTCCTCTGTGTCCTCCCTCCTCAGGGTCTCTGGGGGAGGAACCAACTCCACACAATCACCACAGTTTGACACACACCTCACGGTTTCCTGGGCCCACGGGGAAGTTCTTCTGCCCTGGGGATTCCCCACTCACCACTGCTTCTCACCATCCCTGGTTGAGGGTCAAGCAGTTTCTTCTTGAGCTCCTCCATCAGGTCCTTGAGGGATTCAGTCTGTCCCTCCCAGGCCTCTGTGGCGTCCTCCTTGGTCCCCAGAGGAAAGACTGGTTTCACCTCCTGCCCCCCACAGCGATAGTGAAGGAAGAGGGACCCCTCCACCTGGCCTCGAATCTCACACCATGGCCGTCCAGGCCCAGGCCGAGGAGTGACGGAGAAGTTGTAGCAGAGGCGCTGGACAGCTGTGAATGAGAACCAGGGGGGCTGGAGCGGGAGGGAAGGGACACAGGCTCCCCTCCCGATCTGTGGGACCCAAGAGACTCTCTGAAGGGCTGGGCTGGAAGAGCAAGGCTCCCCGGGTGACCCCTCCCTCTCCCCAGAAATCAGGAAATGTCCCCTGTGCCCTCCAGGCCACACCCAGCTCCAGTCAGCCACAGAGGAGTCTGCCCTGGCACATGGCAGGTGGCCCTGGTGAGAATGTCAGTCTAGTGACCTTGCAGGACAGGGAGGGCCTGCAGGGGGTGCTGCTCCTGAGGAAGGGGAGGGTGGGGACAGAAGCCAAGGAGGAGAAGGAGAGTTTGCAGAGCCGGGTCATGGTCTCCAGCAGGCCCAGCATGGGGGACTGATCTGCTCACAGGTGCTCCCAGAGCTGTGAAAGCCACGGTCCAGGCAGGGAAAACAGAGAAGCCAGAATTTGAGGCAGGGGGTGGAGGCGGGATGACCACATGCTTGAGAATAAGTGAGGTGTCAGGGTGGAGAGGACAGGACACACGCAGACACCCCCTCGGTCACCCAGGCTCCGGAGGAGCTGGAGACTCTGGCGTCAGCCCTGAGGAAAGCCTGGGCTCAGGCTCGGTGGTGACTTGCGCTGAAGGCGGTCAGGGAGCCAGAGGCGTCCCCAGAAGGGCCCAGCAGCGAGGGGGAGGGCACGTGTGGAGGCGCCAGGTGAGTCAGTGACCAGGAGGCAGCAGGTTGGGTAGCAGCAGCCTGGAGGGAGCCTCAGTCCCAGAGCCCCGAGGGCGTAGGCGCAGGGCAGGACGGCCTGGCTGGCCGCCTCCGGTGCTGAGCGCTCCATTTCCAGAACACAAGGGAGGGGGGTCAGGAGCCCGACACCCCATCCCAACCACACCTGCCTCTGCCCGTGTCCAGAGCGGAGCCAAGTCCCCGCGGACAGCAGGGGGGGGGGCGTGTCCCGCTGTCAGCGGAGCGAGCGCACGTTCCGGCCTTTCCCAAAGTCCCTTCCCGGGGCGCAGGGACTCGAGAGTCGCGGCCCCCGCCCTCCACCCGGGCCCCGGGGCGCGATGGGAGGGGAGGGGTGCCCCGTCCCGCGCGGACCCGGAGGCGCGCTCGGTGAACCTGCAGCGCCCGGGCTCGCTCCGGGGCTGGGACTCGCCCCGCCCGCCCCGCCCCCGGACACCCCACGGGCTACACTCACCGCCGAGCGCCCCCCACGCGCCGCCCCGCAGCAGCAGCAGCAGCAGCAGCAGGACGCGGACACCGACCCGAGGGACAAACGCCGCCATGTCCGGGACCCCTGGGAATTTGAGAACCGCCGAGTCGAATCCAGCTCCCCTCTCCCCGCCCCAACCCCACGCCCGCGGGGCGATGCGCCCCCGTCCCGGGCCGAGCGGGGCGCGGGGCGCGCGACTGCACCTGTGAGGGCCGGGGGTGCCCGCGCGAGGCCGGGGGAGGATCTCGGCGCGGCGGCGGAGGGACTCACCGCTGGGCGCACTCAGCGCTGCAGCTCAAGGCTGCGCTCGTCTGTCTTTTATACAGCTCTGGGGCACGCCCGCGAGGGCGCCGGGAGGCTGGGCCGCGGCGCCGGAGACTCAGCTGCCCCGCGCGGCGCGGCGGGGCGGGACGGGGGCGGGACGGGGGCGGGGCGAGAACGAGCCTGCACCTGGGCGGAGGGAGGTCGGGGACAGGACTGCACGGCGACTAAAAGGGCGGGGCGGGGCGGGGCGGGGCGGGGCGGGGCGGGGCGGGGGCGGGGACGGGGAGAGAAGGACCCCGCACATTTCTCCCCGCCCCCGCTCTGCCTGGCGCCCGCCCTTACGTCAGGCGAGCGGGCGGGGCGGCCCGGGTTACTCATCGCGGCGCGGACCCCTCGGGTGGGCGGCGCAGCCGACTTCAGCGCGCCGAGTCCCCGCGCGCCGTGAATTTAGCCCTAGAATCGCCACAGGGTCTCGTCCCCCGTGGACAGGAGCCGGAGCCGGCCCAGCCGAGCAGGCGGGAGAGGCCGTGTGTGGGGAAGTAACGTTCATTTAACGCAGGAGAGTCGGGCCTCCCGGGGCGCGGTGCCTGGAGGGGCGGGGAGCCCGGAGCGCAGAGTGCGGGGAATTTAACACTTTCTCCCCGTTCCCAGCACCCTGCTCTGGGGCGGCGCTGTCTCCCCGGCTCTGCTCCGGGGGGCGCGTCCTCCCCCCCCCCCTCAGAGCGGCCCCGCCCGGGCTCAGGGCTGTTCCCTCCAGGGTCACCTGCCGTGTTTGCTCCCCCCGGACTCTCTGCCTCGTCTCTGGGGTGTCTGGTGGGCGCCTCTCAGACGCCCCTGCCCTGATCCAGAAGCCCCTGGAACTCCCCGAGGCCCTGCCCGCGCCGTCCCCGCAGCTGCCCGGTCACCCCCACCTGCCCTGGACTCACCCCAGCCCCGTCACCCTGGCCCGGCGTCTGCTGGGTCCATGTAACTTGGGTGAGGAGAGAAAACCCAACACAAGAAAATGAACTAAAATAAAATATTAAGATAAAAAGAACGAATTCATAAAAATAAATAGTTAAAATACTATAAATGAATAAAATAATTTAATAAAGTCATATAAGAGCCTCCCTGGTGACCTATGGTCACCTGCCATGACGAAGGCCCATGGGATGGCCTGAGTTCAATCCCTGACCAGGGAAGTGACCCACATGGGGCAGCAGACCCCTCCTGACTCCCCTGCTGCTCCCTCAGCAGTGTATTTCAGTGGATCTGCCTGTTCAGCATCTCACTCTTTCTGGTAATTCCTCTCATCTACCCCCAACCTCTTGCCTACACCCCAGTTCTACACAAAACTAAATAAAAAGAACTAATATAAACTAAAAATAAAGCAATAATTAAAATAAATGAAATACAACAGATAATACAATTAAGTACAATAAATGAAATAATTACAGGAAATAATGTTATTCCCTGTAAGACCGTTCTAGTCTGTCTGTGACGAAGGACTGGATAAGCCAAGGGGGCAGGTCCCCCCTGAGCTCTCCAGCACCACCTGCTCCCTGTTCCTCATCTATAAGGTCCACGTGTCACTCTGGTATCTCCAGGGTCAGCAATGTGCGGGTCTTCCCCCCACATACCCCCTCACCTTGTTGTAGAGATTCCCCCTAGAAACAGACCCAAGTCTGAATCAGATTCAGAGAAAGCCTCTATTATCCTGCCAGCTGCTGTCCCTCACTTAGGGAGCAGCCCTGAGCAGGGGGTGACAAGGGGCTTCAAAGTCGAAAACTGCATCTGGGAGGTTGCAGGTGCCAAAAGCAAGCAATAAAATCAAATATGATTTTATTTAAATTATTTTATTCATTTATAGTATTCTATTTCTTTTTATGATTTTGTTCTTTTTATCTTAATATTTTATTTTAGTTTGTTTACTTTTATTGGGTTTTCTTTTCTTATCCAAGTTACAGAAGCCAAACTGTGCTGTAACAAGCAGTGGAGTATTTCGCCTTGTCCTGGGGTCCAAGTAGGGGGTGGGGTACATGTACCCTGTGTTAAGGGGAACTCGGCCCCTCATTGTCTTGAACTTGGACTGGAATTTCCCTTTTGTCTAACACCTGCTTGAAGCCATCTAAGCTAGGGCCCTAAGGGGTCTGCCACGTTCTACAATCGCACACTGTCACCCTCACTGACTCCATCTCCATACTGTCTCCCCAGACGCCCAGGGATTTTCTTTCTCCATGTCCGCTCTACACTGGGAACACCGTCCTCTACATTCTACCCTGCCAGTCAACATTAAGTGGTTATCTCTGTGAAATCCCACTCAAGCACAGACTGGACACAACACTTAAGAAAAATGATGAATGCAAGGAGAGAAGACATAGTGACCCCGGCTGAGGAGGCCAGATCTGTGTGGCTGGTCCACAGACCTCGTCTTGCCTTGTGCTCTCAGCTTTTGTCAGGAGTGCACTGATGTGTGGAGTGATGGAGACCAGCACGGCCCAGCAGAACCAGAGAGGAGAGAAGACCTCAGTTCCCTGAGGAAAGCCCGGAAGAGATGTTTTTTAAAAATACCACTTTCCTGGGGTAGAAATTTCTTCAGAATTAAAAATGGAAACTCCACATGATCTGACAATACCTGCTCCTCATCCCTGGTGATCCACATTTCACTCTGGAACCTCCAGGATCAGGGACAAGCAGGTCTTGCTCCAGCACACACCCCTCACCTCACATTGTCTGTCACCCTCCTCACTGCTCCATCTCCAAACACTCTCCCAGACACCCGGGGGTTCACTCTCTCCACATCCGCCCTACACTGGGCACTGCCTGTCTTTTCTTTCTTGTCACTCAATATCTCAGATACATTTCCTGACAGTGACAGCACAAGGGATGACATGTTGGAAACTGACCCATGCTTAGGAAGGAATACAACTCATTGCTAATGCGTAGGAAAAAAGTTTGTTCTATATTATGTATGATACAGAAGCGAAGCATAGTTTAAACTTTTGATAGGTTTTTAACAAGAAAACACTTTGTTCCCAATGCTTCCAGACAGGAGGAAGTGGGATCCTATGGGGTCTCTGACTCTGCAGACAGGAAGTCCACTGAGAAATCAGAGGATCCATCCATCACACCTTCAATCACACACTCACACTCCCCAAAACAGGTCAGAGCTTTATAGGAAGTTCCCACATCCTCTGGCCCTGCTCAGTCACCTGTGGGCCCCAGGGTATCCTCCCAGCGTGATAGAAATTTCTGAAGCCAGTGACTGCAACTGTTATAGGTTGCCTGACTGTGGGTCCTCACCTGCTCGCTCAAAAGGGACTTACACTGCAGGCACACACTAAAGGTTAACAAAGGTTTATTTACAAGGGAAGGGAAATGAGGAAATGTACACATCAGGGAGAAAAGAGGGAGATAAATTCTTAAATGTGTCCTACCCGTTCCGCGGACCTGGAATCCCAAATGACCCCCCAGAACCAAACCTGCCTGGCCAAGAGCACGAGCCAAGTGCCCCCAGACCCCACTAACATATCTGGTCATAAACCGAAGCGTGAGAAAATGGCTGCTTAACTCCGCCCTTAGATCCTCACAACTTCTCTTCCTTGGATTTGTAGTTCCCAGTGTCTTGATGGAGTGGGGGTGGCATCCACAAAGCCTGTATGGGATTTGCTCAGGACATCCTTTCCCCCTAACAATTCCCCCCTTTTACTTTTTGCCACCATTTCCATGGTGATGAAGATCAAATGTATGGATGCTGCTGTACAGTCTCAGGGGAAAATTTTTCCCAGGGTTCCCACTGGAAAGCCAACCAGTCTCTCCAGGTATTGTCCATTGTGAAAAGCAAAATAGTTTTTCAGTCCAAGCGAAAAAAAAAAAAAAAAACTACATCTGGAGACATTAGCCAAAACAAAACAGCAGAGACAGCAAATCAAAGGAAAAAAAAAATCTTAAAATTGGTTCAACTTATGTAAAAACAAGTTCTCTCAACCTTGATCCCAAATTGTTTCAACAACGTAACATAAGTTTGCAAACTAAATCTACTTTTAAACCATTTTACCTACCTTTGCATAAAATCACAGGGCAGAATAACTAAACAGCAATTTTAGCTGGCTTTGTTGACACTCCATATAGGATCAGAGTGAACTCTTGACATCTAGTCTGTGTAGACGTCAAGAACAAAGTTGGTCTCATCAGACTCCACCTGGGCATTCCTCTTCTCGAGGGTACCAGGGGTTTTTCATTTGCCGGGCTGTCCAGTCCTGCCAATGGAGGCAAGATCCTCACCTTTTTTGGGGGTCTCTTTGGGGCCTCACCTATGAACAAAGCAGCAGGTTCTCTTCTTGGTTCAGCTGTTTCATCTTTCTGGAAGAACTCCATTCAAAGCCACACAATGAAACTCATGTCCAATTTTTTAGTTTAAGCAGACAAAATCCCTATGGACGTTATGCAAAAACAGACTCTGAGATAGGTAGTAAAAAAATTACTATCACTATTTTTATGCTGTGTTGGTATCAAGGGGAGAGAAAATGTGAACACAAGTTAGCTTTGATGGAAAAAAATGCAACATTGCTGCAGATCCTGGCCACTCAAAACAAGAAAACTTTGTGGATTCAGAACAAAAGGCAAAAAATGACCAGTATTATGTCAAACAAAACTTAGTAAAAATCAGGTGTATCTTCAGGTCTATTCAGTCCTTTGCAGGAAATTTTTACTCTTAACAGTTCCATCAATAGGAATCTGTTGAGGCCTTTTCCCCCTATTTTCTCCAGAAACAATTTCTGTAGATATCAAACAATTGAAGTATATAATATTATAAGGCAACAGTCACCA